TTTTTTTTTTTTTGAGAAAGCCTTAGGGACAACCTATTAAATGAGATGAAAGTCTGCAAACTAAGTTCTTTCAGTTGTGTTATATCTTAATTTACACAAATACCAGTTTCCAGTATCAAACCAGTTAAAAACATCCCTGAAACCCATCCATCTGTATGTTAATAATGAATGGTATGGTAGGAGGAATGCTGGGCTGACCTTGGTGACTGGGTCTCTTCTTAGCGCTGCTACTGTTGACAGCTTGAATGGTAGCGTCTGTCATCTCCATGACTCAGTTTCCTCCTTTGATTTGTTTGTGTCAGTGATGGCAGTGGTCTCCTCCAGCTTGAACGTGGAGGGAGAAGCAAATGCCTTCTTTCGGTTTGGCCTCACATGATCAACAGCTGACACCAGTGCTAGGAAAATACTCTAAGGTTTGGCCATGATTTGGGTTTCGATCTTGTTTTTTAAAGAACTGGCATGATCAAAGATGTCTTTCTGAGAAGTGAGAGCAGATTTCTAAATCACGGCAACTTTTTTCTAACTAGTCTTTGCCTACAATGTAAAGATGAAAATCTTGGTGTCAGAAATGTGAAACAAAACAGTTAAACTGCTTTAGCCGTTAAGTAACAAAAAGTTCAATGTTGCTGACATTGATGTTGCTGTGATGACAGGTGAATCATTGTATCTTCAATTTTTAGCAACTGATGTTTATAGTTTTTCAATCTTATTTATATCCATTTTAACATCCCTCATGGTGCAGCTCTGAGATAAATTCTGTATCATTAATTATTCCTTTCAGCTATGTAAATAGAATGTGACCAGTTAGGGCTGAGGGCAAGAAGACAAATGTTGGCATTATCATTTGAGAAAATTGTAAACATTTAGAAATGTATAGGTTCAGTCTTCAGTCAGGCTATCACTTGGTACCAACCGTCCTCTAAGGAAGTAAAATAAATATTAAGCTTAAACAACTGATCCAAATGTTTCTGAAATTTGAATGGCAAGTTTTTTATGAATACCTGACTCGGTGCTTTCTTATTTTATTGCTAGATGACTCCTAAATCCAAAAGGAAGAGTATCCATAGCCGGATGCTGCGGCCGGTTTCCAGGGCCTTCGGTGAGTGTATTGCTAATGCCATTTCTTTCCTCGTAACTGTGAAACACTCTCCGCAAGGGCCTCAGACCCCTGCAGCTTCTTAGGGATGCTCTAGATGAGCAAACATTGAGAGAGTCGAGTGATTTGTGAATGGGTATTTGCTATTCCACAATAGATTCCAAATTACTTTTAGGAATTTTCTATCCATCTCTATGTAGTAAGCATGGGTCTTGGGCTTTGCTTTGTTTTAGAAATGGAGTTTGATCTGGATAAAGCACTGGAAGAGGTGCCAATTCACATTGAAGACCCGCCTTTCCCCTCTGTCAGACAAGAGAAGCGAAGCTCGGGCTTCATCTCTGAGCTGCCCTCCGAAGAGGGGAAGAAGCTGGAGCACTTCACCAAGTTAAGACCAAAGCGGAACAAGAAGCAGCAGCCCACCCAAGCGGCAGTAAGTGGGCCACAGAGGCCCCGACCCCCTCACCCTTTCCTTCTTGGGAGAGGCTGGAGAGTCCTGCACAATAGGAAAGCTTGTAGTTAGAGAGAATGTGATATTAGTGCAAAATTTCTCCACTTGGTGCTCAACGATTTTGGAAGAGACAGTGCTGTAAAGTTTCCAATTCTTCAGGGTTGTCCTTAGACTTCCCTAGAAAAATCAGTCATGTGGGTGAGAAAAACAGGCAATATCTATAGAATTTTACAAGTGTCTGAGTGTAAAAAGATAGAAAATAAGTACCAAAGAATTAATTTGTAAATTGTTTGCAATTGATTTTAAAGTGCACACATG